GACGGTTCCCCGAACCTTATCCAGATCTGTGATGTCAGTGCGGGATGCAGACGCCAGCCGGAGTCGCGGGGACCCCCTCTCGACAGGATGTCTGCTGCTACATTCAGGACCCCCGGAATTTAGGTGGCTTTGATGGACAGCAGGTGGACATGTGCCCAACACAGTAAAACTGTGGCTACACGCAATAGTGGGAGGGATCGAACTCCCCCTTGGCGATTTATGTAGGCTGCCGCCACCTGGTTGTCTGTGTGAACTTCGACATGACGGCCCTCGAGAAGGGCAGCGAAGTGTCTGATCACATACCTCGCTGTCATAAGCTCCAACACATTTATGTGCTTGTGCTTGTGGGAGGGCCAGCGATCTGCCACCGTATGGGACAAGCACGTGCCCCCCCATCCCAACAGTGACGCATCCGTAAACACAGATACGTGTGACGTAGGATGTCCGATGGGGATGGCTCGACACACGGGAGGCGACAAACGATCGCGATCAGTGAAATTTGTCGCTGTCGTTTTTATTACCTGACACACGGGGGGAGATCCGCGGCAGTGGCAACGCCGTCTACGCGTTCTGTTCCATGGCGAAATCGAAACTTCTCTTGTTTTGTTTGGCTGTGTCAGGTTGGAGGGAATTAAGGTTATTTAAGCGGTTCAGAGTTAAAAAGTGGTAGATATGATGTTTCACAAGGTGTTGCTAGAGTTATGTGAAATCTTACTTGTGATTTTGCTATATAAAACATCATAATAATCAACTTCTCCTTCATGTTTGCTCGGAGATATACGGAGCATCCTGTCCGCTCATTGGTCAGTGAACGAAACCTCCGTTGATTGGTCCTCGTCCGAGCGACAGCGATGAAAAGTTGAAAATGTTTCAACTTTCTGGGATCGCGTCGCTGGGTCGCCTGTGCACGACCCGTGCACGAGCGCAAAATTTCACACGCACGTTTTTCGCGTTTCGCTTGGTAGGAGGGAGACTCGCGATTATTGCTTTGTTACGCATGTCTCATTGAAAATGAATGGAGGAGAGGCGATGTCGCCTCCCGTGTGTCGAGCCCATAAGTCGGACACAATTTCCTGCATGTGTAGGATGGCTGAAGATATCGCGTTAGCGTTCACACTTGTTTAATTTTCAATTTTAATTCTGGTACCTGTTAGCAGCTGAAACACATCCTCATATCCTTGTGGATATCATATACTGTATATGAAAACATGACTGTAATAATAAGTAAAGGTTATCAGTTGTAGGTTTAGCGTGCTCATAGGAAAGGGCCTATATAGTTGTCATCATCAACGTAACATGATTTACAGAATACATGTGACCAGCTAACATTTCATGTTCTACCACACGATGTTTGGATAAAAATATGAACCAATCAGATCTTAGATCAGGTGAGAGCCAGGCGTTTCCCGTCATCCTCTAGGTTTTGCAGCCGGTGGAGAGCAACTGCAGCGCCTTGCTCCAAAATCTGCAGCCGCCTTGATCTCACGAGGTTATCGTTGCATGCATGATGTCAGAGCAAGTCGGACACAAATCTAACTGGCATGCACTGCTTGCCGATCACCGCTGGTCTGATCTGCGCAGAACTGGCTCATCTCGAACACAGCCATTGTCTCACTGCATCTGGACACGACGATTCAAAAGTAAAATTAATTGGTTAAAGTTATGAGATACTGCATTGTGAATGTAAACAGCTAGCGAGGGTCCATCCGTGGACCGTGCGTGACAGGAGAGACAGTTAGCTACAATGGTAACGCAACCTTTGCCAAATTTATAAAGTCTACATACCTCTGCTTTGGGCCCGTTGTTTTTTCTTCCTCCTTCCTTCCCTTTCGGAATGCTGATCCCGATGGCCTAGGTGTTCTTCTCATCGTAAAATATCAAAAGTTTAAACGCGACAACAGGATGTGCTTCTACAGTGCTACCCACGCACGTGATATACGGCACCCTTAACGGTCAAATGCATCGGAGCGATGGCCCAAGCGGGAGCTCGTCATGCAGCCAGATCATTAGAATTTAAATATTGATGTTTTAATTTCATGTCATTTCAGAGGGGGATTTTGAGTATGTAGAGAGTGCATTTCATATTACAAACATAAATTTAATAAACTTTTATTTATTTATTTGTTTTTTTAAATTTTGCACCCTATCCACCAGATGGGGCCCCAGGCGGCTGCCTGTGTCGCCTGTCGGCAAAGCCGGTGTTGGGAGCCGGTTTAGATGGCTCGAGCATCTGGCCGGGATGGTTCCTGGATGCCTCTCTGGTGAGGTTTTCCGGGCACGTCTAACTGAGAGAAGACCTAAAGGAAGACTCAGGACACGCTGGAGGGACTATGTCCCTCAGCTGGCCAGAGAACACCTTGGAATTCCCTGCAGGAGCTGGCTTAAGTAGCTAGGGAGAGGAAAGTCTTCCTCCCAGCTTAGGCTACTGCCCCTGCGTCCAATCTTGGATAAGTGGTCGAAAATGGATAGATGGATGGAATTCTCAAAACTAATGAATGGAGCAGGTCTTATATTTACACTGAAATCAGCCACTTTTAAATGTGTGTATACACGACTGCACATTTGCAGCTCAAGTCTCTTTCAAATGTTTTTTTTTTAATATTGTGAAACTTTACTTCATTTGGAACCTTGCCCTCATCCTTTGGTATAGCCCCAAAAAATGTAAAAATGGGCAGAAGTACTTTGTGTTCCATTTTTCTCATCTGTCTCTTATAATCATGCACACAAATTGCTTCCCTCTTTTCTCAGGAACATCTGCCGGTTCTGTAGTTTGCAGAAACTCTTTCTTTCATCGGTACTTCTGTCACTGAATCCTTTTACCATGCACTGCATGTTTGGGGCTTTTTCATAGCATGTCCAAGATTCCTGGTTTGCATTGTGACAAAGTTTTTGGTACATTTGGCCAAACTATAATGAAAGAAATAGTGGAAGCAGACATAAACAAATTCTTCCAAATCAGTTCTGCCCGTTTGATCTGCAAAATTCAAAATGCTTGTGCATGACTATTTAGCACCAAAGGCATTTAGATCAACAGCTGGGCATATTAATGTCCATGGTAGATGCACAGCCTGAGAGGATACTCCAGCTTTATTAGGGTTGTGCACAGCACTCATTCTGAAGTAAGGATGTGTTTTTCCCCTGTTTGAGGTCCTGCTGGCATGGGACAGGGAGAAAATATTTTCAGCAACACTGTGTAGATTAACCACCATCACACAAACACTCACAATTCTCTCATGTGTATCTTTTATGAAGCAAATTCTCTGTTTTATGAATCTATTGGTCAGCCAATGTGTCAAAGCTGACAGTTCCTGCTGTGTGTGTCTGTATGTGCATGTTGAGAGAAGATGGCTGCATTGATTTGTGTGTGTGCCAGTTGTTTTTGGTGTGTGTTTTGGTATGGGCACTTCTATCCCTGTGCACAGCTCACAGATGGGTTGGATATGCAGGCTGGCTACAGAGGGGCTGCCTGAGCTACATGCCATATCAGCCAATAGCGTCATTACTCACAATTAGATCCTAAGCAGATTAAAGAATGCTAACCAGCCAGTCAAACTGCAGAAAGAGAGAAATTGTGTCACTATTAACCCAGTGAAAAACATTTGATCTAAATCCACCATGTTGGCCTTTAAATCTACATTCAGCACCAGTACTTTGTGTTTTTCCACTGTAAAGTTTTATTTACCATCCTAACTTTGACTTCACCCTTAGACCTTGGAGTTGTTTTACTTCTAATGGATACACATGAGCCTCTCTTGGTATCATTACCATCGGGGGAGGCTGGTAATTTGGTTGTGCCTATACACACCGGTAATTTCAATCAGTCATCCAGATGGTAAAATAATTTACTTAAGGTTTATTGCAAACCAGAGACAGAGCACACCACAAAGCAGCAGAGCAAAACTCTGCGTGCCACTGCAGGATTCTGCAACTGGTTACAGTGTTTGGTGGTAAAACGGAGACACCTGCTGCTAATGTCACATGAATTTATGAAATGTTTAAAACTTAGTTTAATGAGCATCAGTGTTTTATCTAGGAAGGAAGACCTGAATAATAAAGGATGATAATGGATACATCCATTTCTTCCATTTCATTAAAACTAAGATTAGAAAAATTAAATAATTAAAAACAAATAAACAATTTTTAAATAAAAACAATTAGTACACAAATTTTCTATTCAAACAATTATTTAAATAATTAAAAACAAATAGTAAACAATTTTAAAATAAAAACAATTGACAAAACAATTCAACTGTTCAATTTATAAAGTTAATTAAACATTAGAAACTGAGCTAAAAGAACAACAATGAAAATATTTGTTTAAAAATGATGTGGCATGTGTACCCAAACTGTAACATTCAATAATAAATGCACTGATGTATCTTTGGACTAATAGGTGTTTTTAGAGCAGTGGTGCAGTGGTTAGTGTGGTTGCCTTGCAGCAGAAGGTTCCAGGTTTGATTGCCGTACAGGGATCTTTCTGCCTATAGTACATTTGCAGCTTGGACCAGACCTGGTAGGGTAGTTGCATTTACTGTACATTGGCATTATCCATGCAGAGTTGACTGTTTTTTGGCCCTGCTTCCCTGAGGCCCATGTGTCGTGCTGAGCCAACCATACCCACCTTTGGACTGATTGACCATCTGAAAGTCACACCATCTGTAAGTCACGCCTACCTACTAGTGCGAGCCTCCGATTGGTGGGTAGAATCATCCAGGTGTGGCTTCCTGCATGCGCATTTTATTATCAGTCTGGACACAGTGGAGTAAACATCTTCTCCTACTGCAGCTCAAATCAACCACAGGACCCCAAGGACTGACCATCTGCTGTGAGCACCCTTGGATGTGAGAGCCCACAACATCACCGCTGCTCAGCGAGCGATCGGAAGCTGTGTGCTTCATGTCAGAGTCTCCAAAAGCAACACTGCTCACGCTCGCTTCTGTCATGTTGGGTGGTAATTTCTTGACCCACGACATGCAGAATCAACACACGGGAAAACAGGTAAGTAAAAGGGGTTTTATTTTTGACGAGGAGCTCTGAGGAGTCACGGGAACAGAAGTAGCTCAGCACTGATCACAGGATTCCAGGTATGAGATTCTGAGGAGGGAGACAGAGTGAATATCCTGAGGCGATAACAGGAGACTTAGTAGTTAGGCGGGAGCTTACCATTGCTGATAGAGAATAGGTGCACAGGAAGGGCTTGGTCAGGTCCGGGTGAGCTGAGGAGGTCCAGGTGTCGAGGAAACTGTTTATTCAGAGGCGGGGTTGAAGCGGAGGTAGGTGAGGGCAGGTGAGCGGCTGAGAGCGGGAGGCCAGGGGAGGAAGCAGTGTGATCTGGAATGCGGTAGTCCAAGCGGATATGGAGGTGGTGGAAGTGGAACGAAAACCTGGAGGAGAGCAGGAGAGAGTAGTCAGGGGATCATCAGGCGGCAGGTTATCCAACATAGATGTAGTATCGAGCAAGTACACAGGAACTAGTATCACAGGATCTAGCAAACAAGATCGAGACAGGTTAGAGGCTTCAGATACCCACACTGAGTAATCATCCGGCGAGGTGTAGCGTCACGCTGCTTCTTAAATCCCCTGGATCTTGATGACCGGATCAGCTGCAACTGGTAGCTCCCAGACACGCCCACCTGCAGACGAAGCTCAGAGAAGAACAGGATTACAGACAGGCAGCTCACCACGGATCATGACAGCTTCAGTTTACTAACCCGCAGCATTTAGGAAGGACATCACGGACTTCTCCGCAGCTCTTTAGTGACCCGCCCACATGCTCAGAGACGTCTGCGTTCCTGAAACCTATTTAATAAGACACACCATTCCGCAAATCAGCATAATACTGCAGCGGTGGTGTGTCTTATGAATGCGCTGTGGCATCATGGCAATGCAGGGATTTTGCAGGCGACAGGCACCAGCCCCACGCGTCCTTGCAAGGATAATTGGGTATAGATAATGGATGGACAATCACTGGAGACAACGGACATGATTTGTAGGAGACAAAAAAGTTCTAATGCAGTGGTGCAATATTAATCCTGCATAGCTTTTTTTTTTTTTTTTTTACTATAAAAGCAGGAAATGTTGACTTTTAGCAGCTTTTGTTTTTGAGTGTTTTATATAACTTCTCCATCAATGTCAGGGACTTAATTCTTCTCAGTGGCTTTTATATTATAATTAAAATGAACTGAGAAATCAGATTGCATTCATTCTGTTTAAATTGATGTTATTTATATCTTTATTGTTCACTAAGTAACTTTTATCCTTACTTGTGACACTAAATTATTCTCTGATGCCCAAAGGATCTGACAAAACCGAATATTTTTCCCTTTAATTTTACTTCCTGCAATGTTATGAGGTTTGAAGAGATAAATCAAGAAAAGAATGTCTTACAATAGTTGTGTGACAGGTTCAACTAGGCGAAAACATCTATAAAATGGCTTCAGGTAAATAACTGCAATTAAAACATTACTAACAAATTAGTGAGACTAAATTAAAAAAAAAATTCTGAATGTGTTCCAGTCATTTTTCATCCAAATGGGTCAAACTTCTGAAATATATATTATATACACATATAAAAAAGACTGCTAAATGTTTTCATCATCCTTTTAGAGGTTGCTCTAGGAGGCATATGGTGCATGAATCAGGTTTCTTTATTAATTACTACATTTTAGTAACTTTTGGGAGGAATGTTAAATATGCAACGTTGGTCCTGTGGAGTAGCATAATTCCAGATATTACTCACACCGAACACATGTAAGGGACAATTAAGGGTTCATATGTACTTTACTGTTTACAAAGGCTCACAGAAGGCTTAGATTTACAGCAACAGTAACACAAGTCATTTTTTATGAACAAGAATTCATTACAAAACAATGAGCACTCTATTTTAAAACACTGGATTTAGGACTGGGTCTATAAATGGTGAAATAAAACTGCTTAATGCTGCATAATGTTATGTATGTTGATCTAATCATTGTGAAACCAAAAATCAGTCGATTTAGTTTAATCTATGGCAATAAACTCGGAGCCTCTAGTTTACACAGCAGTGCTGCAAGTTGCCAAGGGGACCCAAGCAATGGCATCGGCTGTGAGCATGCAGCCGTTGTCTCCATCCTAGCAGGGTGAGTGGGGTGCATGAGTTGTCCGTCCAATCAGAGGTGATTATGATCTCTGGTTTAGCACTCAGGGGAGAGAGGGCCCTGTCACCAAGTGTGTGAATATCAACCATGTCAGACCTATAAAACGTCCAAAACTTTCTAAAATAATAGCCATCTCGTTATAACGGGACTGCAAAGTGTGCAGGTTTAACTTTAACTTACTTCAGGGGAAGATCACCAGGACACCATGCAATCTTCTGGAGCCTTCTCCTAGCCTGCTTTTTCCAGTCAGAGAACCACTCTGCCATCTAGTGGTCATTTCTTATAACCTGTTAGCTACTTTTTCATGGCTCGTAAACACTTATATGACTAAATAAGCAAATTTGGATTTATTAAAATTTAATGTAGGTCAATCTTAAACTGGACTCCACCAGGGCTGCAGTTTGTCACCGGTTCTGTTCATTACCTTTATGGACAGAATTTCTAGGCGCAGCCGTGGTGTGGAGTGTGTCGAGTTTGGTGGCAGGAGAATCTCGTCTCTGCTTTTTGCGGATGATGTGGTCCTCCTAGCTTCATCCAGCTCTGACCTTCAGCTCTTGCTGGGTAGGTTCGCAGCCGAGTGTGAAGCGGCTGGGATGAGGATCAGCACCTCCAAATCTGAGACCATGGTTCTCGACCGGAAAAGGGTGGCTTGCCAACTCCGGGTTGGGAGAGAGGTCCTACCTCAAGTGGAGGAGTTTAAGTATCTTGGGGTCTTTTTCATGAGTGAGGGTAGGAGGGATCGGGAGAGCGACAGGCGGATTGGTTCAGCATCTGCAGTGATGCGGACGCTGAGCCGATCTGTCGTGGTGAAGAGGGAGCTGAGCCAGAAAGCCAGGCTCTCGATTTACCGGTCGATCTACGTCCCAATCCTCACCTATGGTCATGAGCTTTGGGTAATGACCGAAAGAACGAGATCACGGATACAAGCGGCCGAAATGAGTTTCCTCCGTATGGTGGCCGGGCTCAGCCTTAGAGATAGGGTGAGGAGCTCGGACATTCGGGAGGGACTCGGAGTAGAACCGCTGCTCCTCCGGATCAAAAGGAGCCAGTTGAGGTGGTTTGACATCTGGTCAGGATGCCTCCTGGACGCGTCCCTGGGGAGGTGTTTCGGGCATGTCCTGCGGGCAGGAGGCCCCCGGGTCGACCCGGGACACGTTGGAGAGGTTACATCTCCAGTCTGGTCCGGGAACGCCTTGGAGTCCTGCCGGAGGAGCTAGTGGAGAAAGCCGGGGAGAGGACGATCTGGAGCTCCCTAGTTGGGATGCTGCCCCCGCGACCCGGACCCGGATAAGCGGAGGAAGACGAAGAGGGCGAAGACGAACAAAATGTTTTGTTTAATTGGAAATTCAGAATGTAATTATTCTTGTACTTTTTTAATAATATTACCATACAATATCAGGTGTGTTTATAAAGCACATTTAAAAACAGCATGACAGCTGACCAAAGTGCTGTGCTGTAGTAGTAAAAAAAAAAAAAGAGGAGGAAACCCCAAAATAACAAACATAAATAACAAATTCAAATAAGGGATGAAAGGGATATTAAGTTAAAAGAAGTAAAAGAAACATACTAAAGTAAAAACAAGGCCATGACTAAGGTTATCCCATGTCAGCAGGGAAGACACCACAGGGGTGAGGTGGTGCTCAAACCTCACTCCTGTCACATGGCCCCAAGGGATAAACCATCAACCCTGCTCAATGGTCAGCTTTCCTCGCGGGGTCACACCCATTAGGACAGTGGGAGGGTTAAGAAGCCTGATCATCATGTGACTTGATGGAAGACAGCTTTCCACTCCCCAGGTCCCGCCCACCTGTAATCACTCAGGAGAGGTAGAGACTGTATGTGGTGCCATTTGTAAAGTCAAACAGTCATGATCTAACAGCAATATTTTTGGTTATTTAGCATATATAAGATAAAAAATTGGGAGTTCACTTTTTCAAAGTCATATTTTCATCATGTTATTCATACATTTATAAATGTTAAAGTTTCCAAATAAATATTTAGTTAGCAAGCTAAATATTTAATTTGTAGTTAAATATTTATTTTGCAAACTAAATATTTAGGTCTGATCTAAATATTTAGTTTGTAAAATAAATATTTAATTCACTAACTAAATATTTAATTTACTAATTAAATATTTATTTTGGAACTAAATATTAAATTTGTAAATTAAATATTTATTTTCCGAGATAAATATTTAGATCCCAGCTAAATATTTATTTTGGAGCTAAACATTTAGTTTGCAACATCAGTATTTGGGAAATATATTTATATAGTATACAGTATTTTGGGGTCAGACTTAAATATTTATTTCCCAAATACTGATTTTGCAAACTAAATGTTTAGCTCCCAAATAAATATTTAGCTGGGATCTAAATATTTTTTTCGGAAATAAATATTTAATTTACAAATTAAATATTTAGTTCCAAAATAAATATTTAATTAGTAAATTAAATATTTAGTTAGTGAATTAAATATTTATTTTACAAACTAAATATTTAGATCAGACCTAAATACTTAGTTTGCAAGATAAATATTTAACTACTAATTAAATATTTAGCTTGCTAACTAAATATTTATTTGAAAACTTTAACATTTATAAATGTATGAATTACATGGTGAAAATATGACTTTGAAAAAGTGAACTCCCAATTTTTTCTCTTATGATATGCTAAATAACCAAAAATATTGCTGTTACATTATGACTGTTTGACTTTACAAATGGCACCCCATAGAGACCGTGACGCATGCAGCATTTTTAACACAGTGAGCACATTCACACATGGAAAGTATCAATGTGAATAAAACGCATGGCGGTACCTTGTCTTTACTTTATTTGTGTAAAAGTAGCTTATGGGTCAAAAAGGTTGGAGACCCTGCAGTAGACAAACTGGTATTTCATTGGCAGCAAGCCCACTTGCTTGTCTTCTTTTCTCTCACTGAATTGATGAATGGACAGTTCTAATGTGCCTGTGCAGGCTATTTGTGGATCCTGCTCAAAAAGATGCCTTTGCGTTGCACAGTCCACACTCTGCCTTTGATTTGTCAATATTGGTAAAATGTGGCCAAATCTGGCTGTGTTCCCCGCAAGCATTCATGTTCTCCCCGTTCTGTAGCGGGTTGTCCAGTAATCAGAAGGTTGGAGGTTCATCCCTGACTCCTGCCACAGAATGCTGCTGTTGTGTCCTTGGGCAAGACACTTAACTTGCCTTGCCTACTAGTGGCGGAGGCCTGTCGAACACTGGCACCACCAGTCTCTCTGACCACCACCAGCAGGCAAGGTGAGTAAACATGTTCAAGCTGGCTTTTGCATAACCTTCATCACCACCCTCTGTTGTTCTGCTCTTTCTACTTATTCTGCCTTTCCCGGGATTGCCTCATTTCTCTCTTTCCTATTTGCTCGCTCCCTTTTATTTTTACATTTTTTTTATCTTAATATTTTTTCTCATTTTAAACATTTAAAATAATTTTTTGAAATATGGTTTATATTTTAATGTTTTGCTTTTGTGAAGCACCTTGTGATTTTTATCTTGAGAGGCGCTACATAAAATATAGTTTTCTTACCTTCTTTCTTTAAATCTAAAACCGTTTAGATTTGTCTTCCTAGGCCTTGGTTCCATCAAAATTAATCTGAAGGACAAACCTGTGATGCATCCAAGTTATACATTTTCTTCTGGAGCTGAATGAGTTATTTTCCACCATCAAGCAGGACAACCTTTAGCTGAAAACTCCAAGATGGGGTCCTACCTGGACCTGCCAGATGATTCCATGGATGTCTGAAACTGAGCTCTCC